CACCTATGGATTTCAACAAGCAATTAGCAGCGATCTATGCAAGTCCGCAACAGCGCCTCACTTGCGACTATTCACGTGCAATACAAGTTATCGCCCTTTACTGCTAAACGCCACATACAAAAGAATCAAAAAAAAAAACAAAATAAAACACATTCCGGTACCAACCAAAATGAAGATAGTGCCCGCGGAAATCCACCGCGCGGCTGGTCCGTTTTGCTTCCCTCCCCACCCGCCCACACCCGACGTCCCTCGGCGTCCCGACGTTCCTCGGTGTAGCGGTGTAGCAGACAGGCACACGACGGCTTTCTCGTGTCTTTGAACTCCACCATCCCACAGCTACGTATTTCCGGGCCCCGCCAGCTGATGATGTAGAGTGCACGCGGTACCCCACGCGCCTTGATGTTCGCTGCCCCCTTCCCGCTCTTGGTAGAAGGCAGCCACGGCCACTGCCGTGCTGCTGGGTGTGGCCAAATACTCCAGCACTTCTCACACAACTCCCGTGATACCCCGCCTATCCATCGGGGCCAGGAAGCACTTCTCTCCCCGCATATCCATCGGGGCCAGCAAGATTTTTCTGGTACCCTTCCCCGCACACACGACGGGTTGGGTTCGCGTGCCCCCTCCTACACGCTCCTTAATGGGGATAAACACAAGAGAGCACACACTACTCTCAAGTGTACACGAGTGTTCTCCACCCGTGTTCGCGGGCCACATACCTTGCGGGTACAACCCGCGGGCATTCCCGCTCCGGCCTTGTCTCCAGACCCGCCCCAGCAGACATTGGTGTTGTATACCTCCAGGCCATCTCCCGGTCTTGTGTTCCTTCCATGCTGCTGGGGTGCAGGCGGCAGAACTCCACCGCCTCCGCGTGCCCCCTCCTACACGCCCTTTTAATGGGGACAAACCGATATAGCAACCGGCTCGGGAGTAGCGGATACTCTCATCTGCTCCCACGACCCGCACCTGCGGGCGAGCGGCAGCCTCCGTGCTCCCGCTCCATGGAGCCCCCCTTGGGACTCCTGGTGGACATGCACTACACAGCATCCCCACCGTTGACAGCATCCTCTTGGCGCCGCCTAACTTCGTCCGACCCCTCCTGAGTGGATAAGTCGGTCGCTGGGACACTTTCGCTAGTGCCCCCAGCGGTAGCAACTCTGCTGTGCAACAGCTCTGCCACAACTTCTACAACAGACGGAGAGAGTTGGTGTACTGGAATGCACCAAACACACCTTCAGCAGGGACCTCAACAGCCCGCACCAGGGCGCCATCCACGTCCGGCCTACTGCTGCTCTCTCCTCCCGCAGTGTCGCCCTCCCTGACAACCACGCAGCTCTTGGTGGTTGCTCGGTGGAACACACAAATCCCGCCGCACCTGCCGTGCCTCTCGCAGCACGGCCCGACTAATCCTGGCCTCGCCCACCAGACTTGGCCTGCAGAAGCAATGGCAGCCTGCCCATCATCTCCTACACCCCTGGTTATCGCCTCAACTCGAAACCCTAGTCAAAACTTGCGCGTCGTGTCACTCAGTAATGTCCTTACCACGGGATCACGCACAACGCTCCTGCTGCTGCTTCTCACCACAGCTGAACTCTGAAGATCATCGGGCTCCTCCGGAGGATGATGCATTTCTAGAATGAATGGTATGCCCTTGTTGTGTGACCTCCAGAGTCCAAAGAGTGTTGTTAACGGCGTGTATTATCGTAGGGGGACATGAGGGAGAAGGAGGGAGGAAGAGTGCCAGGCCCAAAGCCAGTCGAAAAGGGGGCCCGCAACTCGTATCTCAAGGTCTCTCCTAGCCGCCCCTCAAGGCAATCCCATCTGCGGTCCACGAAACCGCCAGTGATTTGGTACAATTCGACTAATCTACCTCCACGCATGAACACTCGGCACGCGAAGTCAAACAAGGTTAACAAGAGCTTTGCCAAATCAAAGCAACAGAGTAGGAAAAATCGCATGATTTCATCCTGGTGCCTCTAAGGTATGCGAGGCGTCACTTTTGAAATATCAATTGGCACCGCCATGTATTATTTATTGGCAGTGTCACGGAGCCGGAGCGTTTTTCATTGCCATTCGTGTGCGTTCCAATGCACACAGTTTCGCAGCACCGCTCCATTCCAAAACACACTGAAACAACAAAACTGTTTTCGCCGACGAACCGCCCTTTAACCTGGACAAGAATTCATTGATCTGCGTCGTATCCACCAAGTTTCAATGTCTCCAACGACAACTAATTAATTCCGTCAATTTGTATTTCCCTCCCCGACAGCAACTCGCAGAAAACAACCAACCCAAACAACTTTGACCTACTCCGCGTACCCTCTGGGACGATATTCTACTCGAATAGTCCCCCCATACAACAGCACCTTTCAGGTACCCTCTATTAGCGGGATCTCTATCCGCACAACCTAATGTTCGGGCGCGGGGAAGACACCAATTGAAAGGGGAGTAATAGTATAGTATCTGTGGCATTCAGTTCAGCACAAAGTTGCTGACGACGTTGTTTTGGGCTGGTGTTCTTGTGGGTGCTGTTGTTTCGATGTGTCAAGGAACCAGTAACACATTGACCGTATCCGCTAAAGATCCGAGATCCTATCTCACCCCTTGCTTGTTGATGTCTGAATTTGTGGACATCTTTGAGTTAAGCCCGAGGCGACAGCAATCATTCTACTTCTAGGTCATCAGCTCTAGCATGCGTATGGCATGGTGGCTGACGAAAGTGAGGCTCAATGAGCAGACCACACGCAGGCGACTGGGAGCACCTTGCTTGGTGTTTCCTCCCTTCACCCTCCCCCGCTTTGCCTAACCTCACAGCCCGCCCCGTGCCAGCAAGTAAGTACCTAAGCTTCGATCGAAGGGGCGAATACACTTAGTTAGCTTCATTGACATCCTCGCACATCACCAACCACCCGATGCGCTGGACATGACTAGCGACGGCTTTTGGCCACAAGCAAGGTATCTAACGCGGCGCTGAAGATCGACCTCGAGGACCAAACTGGATCGTGCCACGAGCCCTCGATGGGAACCCACAGGTGCCCTTTTTCCGCAATCGTGAGGGGAGGGATCGACCTGTACTGATGAGGGGTGGGTGGCCTCGCCGCTGCACCGCGTGGAGAAGAAGGATATGCCTCTCGCAAGCAAGCCGGCAATCTGTCCGAACGTGCTGCACCTCATCAGAACCCCGTCGGCTTCAATTATGCAAGACATTTCGTTCTGGACGTCGGAGCCCATGTGAAGAACGATGGACTTGTACCGAATGCGGAAAATGCCGGCTCGTTTCGGGGTGCAGAAGGTCCCGGCTTGCTTCTCCGGGCAATCTTGCGGCGTCGTGGCAGCCAAGCATTCCTCGATCTGATCGGTGCAAGCGCGTGCGACACAGAGCAGAGAGTAAACCTAGCGCTGACTCCAGGCACAGAGGAGAGACCATCCCACCGGGTTCGACGTTGCTATCATCCTAGATTTGGCCGTGTGCATCGGGGTGAGGCAACTTCATTAGACGAGACCTATTTTTCCGGGCAGACCAACCTCTTTTTGTCGTTAAACGCATAGGGTCTTCTTTGCAGCTTGACAAGGCCCACTTCGGTAGCAACGCGTATTCTTTAAGTTTCCCAAGTTCCCGTAAGCGTTGACAGTTTGCTAGCGCCCGGGCAAAAATTAGGCGTATCTGTCGTTGATTTCTATTGACTTGCGGACCCTTCGGGTCCATTATATTTTCGTACAGTACACCGTAATCATCGGGGTCTTGGCACATATCGGGGTCTCGGCACATATCGGGGTCTCGGCGTATATCGGGGTCTTGGCACAGGGTGTGCGGAAAAAAAGCGGGTTCCGAATGATTTGCTAGATTATCGCACAGGTATCATAGTCTCCGCACACAATGCGGAGACGCCGATATGTGCGGTGAGGTTTGGCGGTAAGTGATACCCTTTCACCAGCATCTTGTGCTGGAAATTCCGGATACTGTGGAAGCTTGAATCGCGTGCTCCACTGCTACTGCTGCCCTTGGCACCATGACGATGGTCAAACATGTGGTATTTGTACTCTTTTTTCTCTTTGCGTTCTGAAGAATCAAGATCGGCAAATCGGCAAACGGCATCCAATCAACAATTCTAAACGCAGATGAAACCAAAAACGAAGGAAGAAATCACACCAAACTACCACTACGAGCTACCAACGTCCTACTACTGTACTTTCTAGGCGGGTTGAACTCCACTTCGTGCCCGCGCCCCTACCATCGCAAAAACATCCAATCTCACTGGCAATCCCAAAGAACTATGATTCAAAGTTCGACTACTTCTCCTTCGGCGCCCCCGCCCCCCTGCCCCTTCACGACTCCCACGTCGCTGTCGCCCTCCAAGACCTCCACCTCGCTGTCGCTCTCATCAGCGACGTAGGGTAGCAGCTTCCCCTCGACTTCCTTCTGAGCAGCTGTGATGGGGCTGGAGTCGAACCCCCCTGGTACCTTCGGCAGCTTGAGCGGCGGGAGAGTCACGTCGGGGTGCTCAGCGAGCCACACGGCGTGCTGCTCCTCAAGAAGGTCGCGGTAGTCTTCCCCGAAGTGGTGCTCGCACCAGGCGTGGTCTTCGCTGCCGTCGAGCGCGAGCGTGAGACCGCAGATCTTGAAGCAAGTCTTCACCGTCTCGGGGGTGATGAACTCCCACGCTTCCGTGCACCACGTAGAGACGACCCCACACTCCGGTGGCTTCAGCTTCCCCGACNAAGAAGGTCGCGGTAGTCTTCCCCGAAGTGGTGCTCGCACCAGGCGTGGTCTTCGCTGCCGTCGAGCGCGAGCGTGAGACCGCAGATCTTGAAGCAAGTCTTCACCGTCTCGGGGGTGATGAACTCCCACGCTTCCGTGCACCACGTAGAGACGACCCCACACTCCGGTGGCTTCAGCTTCCCCGACCGGGCGTCTGCGACCGCCGACGCGCTGTAGGCGGTGTACTTGCCCCGCAGCAGCCGCTTCATCTGCTTGTTGAGCATGCGGTCGAGCGGTTGGAGCAAGGGAGTCAACCCGCCTGGGATGAAGATGACGATGGTGTTGGCGTCTCTCTTGAGGGCAGCGATGTAACCCTCGTCCTTGTGGCACATGAAGTCGTCCAGCACCAGGATGCACGGGCGCTGCTGGACGATGCTGCCGTTGTTGGGACGGAGCTTCCGGCTGCCCGAGATCCACCCGTTGCACTCCCGCTGGTCACTCCAGCGCTTGTCCTGCACGCCGAAGGACACGCCGTTGGCAGGGTGGCCGTGCTTGGCGCGGTTCGCAGGA